CATAAATAATTGTTTATCTTCTCTTAGATCTATTTGCCCCAAACTTTTTCATTACAATGGCTGGCATTAAGGGAATAGCTTTGGTGCTTCCAAAATATAAAATCTCCCTGGAGAGATTAGAGAAATATAGAAAAAAAAATAACATGTGGTAATGAGTATAAATAAGGGAAGTAGAGTAGGCAACTAATTGTTGATTTGTCTAAAGAAAAACAAGAGTATCAGGTTTTTGATTGTAGCAGGAATTTCATAAAAGCCAATTAAGAGGACTTAGAACCTGATGTTTGTAGTAGTGATGATATATTCTTGCATGAGGTGATAAAAAAGAGGGAACAGATTAGAAGGTAAATGTAACCTAAAAACATTTCTAGTGAGAAAAAGAACTCTGTAGTCCAGAATTTCTGATAATTCCAACTCAACTAAACTAGAATATGAGGGGGCTTCAAAAAGCTTGTGAAAAATTGAATTAAAAGATAAACATGAAAATAGAAACTTTATTTCTAAATATAACTTCATCAGGTTGAAGACATTTTTATAAATGATGATATCAGCTATTTAGTCTATTTCTAAAGAACTAGAGTCCTGGGAATTTAACCATGTCAATGCAATCTTCTTACATTATTAACTAAAGAAAATTGGATGACCTTTAAAAAAAAATTAAATTAAGAAACAAAAAGAAGCCAGAGGAAGCGAAGTTAGAACTTTAAGGTGGATGCGTAATAAATTTTTTTTTTTTTTTTTTCTTTTGAGACGGAGTCTCGCTCTGTTGCCCAGGCTGGAGTGCAGTGGCCGGATCTCAGCTCACTGCAAGCTCCGTCTCCCGGGTTTACGCCATTCTACTGCCTCAGCCTCCCAAGTAGCTGGGACTACAGGCCCCCCCCACATCGCCCGGCTAGTTTTTTTTTTTTTTTTGTATTTTAGTAGAGACGGGGTTTCACCGTGTTAGCCAGGATGGTCTCAATCTCCTGACCTCGTGATCCGCCCGTCTCGGCCTCCCAAAGTGCTGGGATTACAGGCTTGAGCCACCGCGCCCGGCCTTAATTTTTTACTGAAACTCTGGCAAAATTTTATTGTAATGGTGGAAAAGGACTCACTGGTGAAGCTTTCCTGGGTGTTTTTTGGCTAAACCCTTGGATCACTTTCTCAAAACTCTCATTATAAACAGATGTTATTGTTCTTTAGCCTTCCAGAAAGTCAACAAGCAAAATGCTTTGAACATCCCCAAAAAACTGTTGTCATGTCCTTTGCACTTAACTGGTTCATTTTTGTTTTGATTGGACCACTTCCATCTCTTAGCATCCTTTGCTTTGATTGTGCGTTGTCTTTAGGATTTTACTGGTAAAGCCATGCTTCAACTCTTCTTTTATTTTATTTTTTTATTTTCTATTTTTATTATTTTTATTTATTTATTTTTGAGACGGAGTTTTGCTCTGTCGCCCAGGCTGGAGTGCAGTGGCCGTATCTCAGCTCACTGCAAGCTCCGCCTTCCGGGTTCACGCCGTTCTCCTGGCTCAGCCTCCCGAGTAGCTGGGACTACAGGTGCCCGCCACCAAGCCCGGCTAATTTGTTGTATTTTTAGTAGAGACGAGGTCACTGTGTTAGCCAGAATGGTCTCGATCTCCTGACCTCGAGATCCACCTGCCTCGGCCTCCCAAAATGCTGGGATTACAGGCGTGAGCTACCGCGCCCGGCCTGCTTCAACTCTTCATGTAATACTTCAAGAAAACGTTTCAGGATGTTCAGCCCACTTGTTTAAAATTTTCATTGAAAGTTCTGCTCTCGCCTGCAGCCGATTTGGGTGCGATGGTTCTGGCATCCATTGAGTGAAATTTGCTCAACTTTAATTTTTCATTCAGAATTGCATAAGCTGAACCAATTGAAATGTCTATGGTGTTAGCTGTTTTAGCTGTTGATTCTCAGCCCCCATCAGTTAGGACCATCCCTAACTCTTCCATTCACACTTCACCAAATCTGAGGTTTGTTCTTGCTTCTATTTTAGCAGAATTCATGTTGCTCCGATACGGATTCTTTTCAAACTAATGTCTCATCCTTAGTACCTCAAACTAGATCCTGTTGGTTTATTTTGATGCAAAAATATTTTGAAATCCATCTATATATTTTTTCCTAATACATATTTTCCACAACTTTTCTGAAGACCCTTTTCATAATAGTCTGACTCTTGCCAACTACTTTTAGTCACTTATTAGAATAATTAATCATTTTTCTGCATTTTATATATATATATAATATGTATATATAATAAAGAATGCAAAGTCGAACAAGAAGTGATTGGAGAAGAGCATTTACAAGTAATGTTATACGTAAGTGTTATGTTCTACTTGTAGCACAAATTCTAGTGGTGAACAAATTCTCTAAACTTTATAGAGAAGATCCTTTTCTTTAACATCTAGAAAATTTCCAACTCAAATAAATTAATTACCGTTAAAGTTCTAGCCTTGAAAATCCAACAGAAAAATACACTTTTATCTGCTTGTGGTCAGGGAATTTTGTATTTTCACTATTCACATAACAATAATGCTAAACATAATTGGTTTTTGTTACGTTTTTCTCCATTATATAACCTAAGTCATTATCAAGATATGTCCTGCCATCTCCAGAGTATAACAACTTACTATCAGGCTTTTTTCTACTAACCTCACATATGCTGCCATCTTCCTCAACCTAACCAAAGCTGTTGTCAAACAAAAAATCTGCTACCATTGCACTTTTCTTAGCAGTATATTGGAAAATGTCTTATATGTTTTTATGTCATTGTCAAGGAACTGCAGTCAAACCTCCAAAACATGTAATGGAAACATTTATCTCTTAAGTCTCTGAGTAAATAAACAGGAAAAAATATCAGAACTAAAACCTTTATCTTCTTTTTGGGGGGTTAATATTCTGTTTGCCTAAAGTCAGAAGAAATCTTTGTGGGCATTCTAGTGCAGAAATCACATAAAACCTTCTCTTGGTTCTTCTGATTCACAGCAAATTTTTTGGGAAATATAATGGGTTGAATTAAGAAACCTTTGTGGGCATCCTGGTGCAGAAATCCTGTAAACCTTCTCTTAGCTCTCCTGATTCGCAGTAAATTTGTTGGGGATTATAATGGGTTGAAATGTGTCTCTCCACCACCGTCCCCACAACCCTCGCCAAAAAAACATGTTGAAGTCCTAATTCCCAATACCTCAGGATGTGACTTATTTTAAAATAGGGTCATTGCATATGTAATTTGTTAAGATTAGTTCATACTGGAGTATGGTGGACCCTCCAATATGACTAGTTCCTTTTTAAGAAGAGGAGAGACATAGAGACACAGAAATTCGAGGGGAGAAAATCATATGCAAATGGAGGCAGAGGAGATTGCAGGTGGGAATTATAAAAATAAGAAAATACTTACGAATTTCTAGGTATATCAAATGTTTTAAATAAATATTCTTAGTAAGATCATGTGCTCGAGAAATAACACGACCATTGCAATTCCATTTATTTATAGTTATATGTAGTATGTAAGTTCAATAATTTTGAAATAAAATTCTTATTATCATTTTGAAACAGGCTAAATCATTTTGAAATGGAAATCTTAGTATTTTGTAAATCTTTGTATTATTCTGTAAATCAGGTTCACTGGCATAAATAAAAAGTTTCTGTTTCATGAGTTAGTCATTTTATTAAGTACTTCAAGAGAGATGAAACAATATAAAATACAGTTTCATTTTTAAAAAGTGACGAATTCTAATGAATGTGTATCTGGTAAATTAGAGGTTGTTAATTTAATGTTAACTTTTATCAAAATTTCTCTAAAGCTAGTTTTCCTAGTAGGGTATGCTTAAATATGATTAAACAAAATATTTTTCTTCCACAGTATTATACACTTCATTATAAAACTGCAATATTGAATCTTAATATGATCTTCAATAAAATCATGTTTTAACTTAGTAAAATTGAGAATGTTGGAAAATTTTCTGAAATTAAAATAGAATAGTAAAATAATGATAAATTTATACTACAGAATCATGTACCAACTCTTTGAATTTTAATACCTAATTCAAATTCTATCATTCAAAAATATTAATGAGAAAAACAAAACCAGAACACTTTATATCCAATTCTACTATTTATATTCTGTAGATTATGTATGTGCATCAATATTATTTCTATATTTATGTGATTCTTGCTGGGAAAGCTAGTTGGCAGGTACAACTTTGCTTTACTTTTGACATAGTAAAGCAGCTACACAAACTTGGACTACATTTCCTTGCTTCTAGCTGGGCCATGTGGATAGTTCCCATGAATGGAATATGGACAAAAGTCGTGTGTCATTCCTTTACCAAAGTAGTTAACAAGCTGGTGTGCTTTAACAATTTTTGCTTTCCTCCTCTTTAGCTAACTGGGACTCTAAACACAGGGGAGAGAAGCCACAAGATGAAAAGAGCTTGGATTCCTTAATTACCATGTGATAAAAGCTACCTGCAGACTAAGAGCTGTGATGAATTGTTTGGTGAATGAAAAATAAATTTCTAAATTTTAAAGCCACTTACATTTGAGGTTAACTTAAATCAACTTTCATTATTCTAACTAAAACAATAATTAAAATAAAACGCCACACATTAAAATATATCAGTTGATTAATTGTATTATTGAGTAATAAATATTAAAATTCTAATTTTTTTCTGATTCTCCAAAGATGATATGCTAAATTTGTTAGATATGTAGTTAAAATGGTAATTCTCTATAGAGAGTTAAATACTGATCTTCACTTTTATTTTGGTTGGGAAAACATAAAGAAACATACATTTATTTTACTTTATTTTATTATTTTATTGTTTATTTTTTTGAGACGGAGCCTCACTGTCACCCAGACTGGAGTGGAGTGCCACGATCTCGGCTCACTGCAACCTCCGCCTCCTGGGTTCAAGCAATTCTCCTGCCTCAGTCTTCTGATTACCTGGGATTACAGGCGCCCGCCATCACGCCTGTCTAATTTTTTGTGTTTTTTGTAGAGACCGTGTTTCACCATGTTGGCCATGCTGGTCTTGAACTCCTGACCTCAAGTGATCCACCTGCCTCGGCCTTCCAAAGTGCTGGGATTAAACGCGTGAGCCACTGTGCCCAGCACATTTATTTTAGATGTCTTACCCGAAATATAGTCTGAGATATGTATTCATTAGATTAATTCATTTGAAAAAACAATAATTTATTCTAGTTATATTAAGCAATATATGGATAACACATGACTATACAAAATTGTTTTGGGTCTAAGCACCACCAATTAGTACTTTTTTGTAATTCTTATATATTTGTATAAGACCTGACAATATCCTTTAGAAAAGCTCTAAAAGGCCTACTAATGTCAGCCTCTCTACTTTATCAAAATAGTCATTACCCTTCCCATCATTTAGTTAGTGAGGGGAGTCAGACATTAATTAAATAAAAACAAAATAAAATTACTGAAAGCTATATTCTATGAAGATAATTATAGAGCATGATGAGGTGGCATAACCAAAACAGCTAAGTGAGAGGAAGGACTAGTTGAGAAAGTACCTTTAAATGTAGGCCAGAAAAATATCTAGGCATGATAGGAAGAAGATGTGAGGCAGAGGGACAACACTGAATGTAGACATTTGTTATTCAGTTTAAGGCAGTGAAAGAGTCCGTGTATCAGAATCAGACTGGAGAGGGGAAAATGACAGGAGGTGTATACAGAGGATGTATTTATTATATCTTTATACATATTTAGGATTTTGTTCTAAGTGAAATGATAGGCTAAAATATTTGGATCATGCTAATGATGAATCAGTGTATGTTTTAAGAAGAATATTCTGAGTAGCCTTTAAATAACAGAGGTGGGCTACAATAGTGCATGTGGATAATAGTGCCATGGCTTGAGAGTTGGAGTAGAAGGCAGTGGAAGCTAAAAGAAGCAGAATTAAAAGTGGAATCAAGTAGGGTTGTATTTCAGAGGATGCAAGAACTCTCCATCAAAAGGTTAAAAGAAAGTAGATGTAAAAATAATAATTCATGTTTTTATAATGTTCATTTTACTAAAGTAATAATATCTACACTACCTTTTTTTCTGTACAGCTATCATATGAGACTAGTATTCCTGCTGTCATCTTTTTACATGTGAAGAAACTAAAGGTTAGTTATGTGATGTCTTCAAGAAAGTTTTTTTGAACATTCACTTTGATATGGAGCAGTTTCTTAATGCCGTATCTATATTTTCATGCATTTATTCCTTTCTCCAAACACGTCTGTGCACCACACCCTATACTGCATGCTGGATATACAAAGCCAGGCAGATCACAAAGCACACAAAACCAAGGAGACTACTACCTCGAAATGAGAGACGGATATCTAAACAAATACATATATTGAACTACTTCAGTATAAGCAAATAGAGAGTATAGTAAGGACCAAATTTTATGATGGAGAGTTAGATAACCTAATAAAAATGAATAATTTTGTTTTAATTTTCAAAGACATGATTTAATATATTGGTATAGGATGGTCTCTAATGTACAGAATTAAATATTTGGGGATGAAGTAAGGGTTCTCATTTTGAATAAAGAAAAAACAAGCACTTCTCTATGTCATGAGGATGAGGTCTTATCACTGATCTCTGTTTGATTTTCCTCATAAAATGGAAGCCATAAGTAGTTGTTTTAAAGGTGAATTTTTATAATCGCCGCAGTCTACTTTCAAGGCTGATTTGATCACCAGTTTGGGCGTTAGCTACAACACTAGCAATAAAGGGAAGTAATAGGTGGTTCAGGACCCAAATGTATAAAAGTCCAACCCCATAAATGCTGATGTGTGTTGAGGGTGGGGTGGGAGCATTTGTGCATGTTAATATGAACGTTTGTGTCTGTACTTGTCATGTCTGCTATGTACCTTTTTATTGAAATATTGGTGGGAGGGTGGTATTGGTTAAGCGCAAACTCTGTATTTAAGTGGAAAAAATACAGATATTGATATTAGTATCTAGATTCAAGTTTACACTATCAAGAAGACTTTGTGCAAACTACTTAAACCTTCTGAATCCTAGTTTTCCTCTTTTCATGACAATAGTGTCCAAAGCACTATGAAGTTAACTATCAAGTCAGATATAAAGTCCAATAACTAAAGGTAAGAGGTTTTTTATAGTTTTTCATATGTTACCCTGTTTTCTGTATTAGTTAAAATTATCTTTTTTGCTAATAGAAGCTCTTTACAAATTATTCATTTAGAAAACCTTTAGGAAATATGAAACAAGCAAAGACTCAACACCATAAAATCAATTTTAGCAAACTTAGTCTATAAGATATGAACATTAAATTGAATATTGCTTTTAGAGTATCTTGTATTAGTATGCATATTAGATAATTAATTTTGCCTTTTTAAATCTTGGTTTTATCTTCAAAACTATAGCAATATATGTTTGTCCCTTGATATTGGTGGAAGATTTGTTCCAGCACCTATCTGCAAATATCAAAGTCTGTGTATCCTCAAGTCACTTATATGAAATTGAGTAGTATTTGAACATAATTTACGCACATCCTCCCACATACTTTCAATCATCTCTAGATTACTTAGAATGCCTAATATAATGTAAATGCTAGTGTCTATAAATAGTTATTAAAGTGTGTATTTTATTCGTATTACATTTTGTTCAATTGTTATTTATATTTTTTCCTGGAAAATTTTTGATCCATGATTGTTAGAATACATGGACGTGGAACACTGGGATAAGAAGGGGCTGACTGTGTATTGATTTCTTACTATGTGCTAAGCGTTACTCTAGGAAATTTACATTTATTAACCAATTTAAATCCTCAAATTTGTCCTGATAAGCAGGTCATTATTATCTGCATTTTATAAATGAAAAACTGAGTTCAGAGAGATTCAGAAACTCAATCACGGTTACAAAACCATTTTGTATTGGTTACAAAACCATATTATATGGTGAAGGCCTGCAGAAAGGAAAACATTTAATTTAGGGAGAAAGGTGAAGCTGTTGTATTAGTTCGTTTTCATGCTGCTGATAAAGACACACCTGAAACTGGAAATTAAAAGAGGTTTAATTGGACTTACAGTTCCTCATGGCTGGGGAGGCCTCAGAATTATGGCAGGAGGGGAAAGGCACTTCTTACATGGTGATGGCAAGAGAAAAATGAGGAAGAAGCAAAAGTGGAAACCCCTGATAAAACCATGGTATCTCATGAGACTTAACTCACTATCATGAGAATAGCATGGGAAAGACTGGCCCCCATGATTCAATTACCTCTACTTGGGTCCATTCCACAACATGTGAGAATTCTGGGAGATAGAATTCAAGTTGAGATTTGGGTGGGGACACTGTCAAATCATATAAGTTGTAAATCACCCTTAATTTCTAATAAAATGTAAAAGTTAATACTATTAACATAATTCATGAATACACTGTTTGTTTATTTTTTAATTAAATGAAAACTTTTATGTTGGTTAGCTACTGCTTTTTTTTTTAATTATACTTTAAGTTCTAGGGTACATGTGCACAACGTGCAGGTTTGTTACATATGTATACATGTGCCATGTTGGTGTGCTGCACCCATTAACTCGTCATTTACATTAGGTATATCTCCTAATGCTATCCTTCCCCCTTCCCCGACCCCACATATACACCATGGAATGCTATACATCCATAAAAACGGATGAGTTCATGTCCTTTGTAGGGACATGGATGAAGCTGGAAACCATCATTCTGAGCAAACTATCGCAAGGACAGAAAACCAAACACTGCATGTTCTCACTCATAGGTGGGAATTGAACAGTGAGCAACTTCTATTCATTATTTACCCCAAGTTAATTTTACTTTATTTATACGTAAACATATAAAATCAATGTCAGAGCTTCCTATAAAAACAAAGGTAGATAAACATTGCATTGCATGATTTACTGTTTTATTTGTTTTAGAAAATATCTTTTAGACAGCTTTAAAATTTGGTTTATTGTACTATGATTAAACATTATTGCTCATATCTATGCAAAACAGAGTAGCAACTCCTGGACAGATAATTAAAGTTCAGATATTCTTTCTTGAGGGCGGCACCCTAAATTATAATTATGGTGATTTAATTAAGCATCAAATATACTCATGATGCTCATAAAGCATGCATCAGGCATGCAGCTGTTTTTCCTCTGTAATGTTTTATCCTTTGCCCCACTGCTTTAATGACTAAAACCCTGATTTTTACTGTGTTTCTTGTGTGCTCCAATTTACACCTGTGACCAATCTTTTTAATTATCAGAAACACTGCAGTTGACACTGTTTGGTTCCATATGACAATATCCATTATATTCTCTTGAAAAACTCCTGGCAAATGGCATTGCCACAGATGCCAAACTACATGGATAGTTAAGGTTGTCTGTTTTTTGCTTTCAATTTTAGATGTTTATATTAGGCAAGAGAATCATTTTGAGAAACAATTACTAAGCTTTGATGTAAGGAAAATCTTCAAGTTATTAAAATACTTTGTTCATTCTGTTCCAATTACCATAAAATAAAATACTTCTGTGTAATGGAATTTGTTTGTTGTTATTCACTGAAATGGGAAATAGCCAGGCAGAGGAATCAATTTATGGGAGCATAGGTGAACACCTGAAGTTTAAGCATTGCCAAAAATAAAGTCTATTGCAACTAGCTTGATGTTTTCTCCTCCAGCTATAGCAATGCTCCCAGATTACTGCTAGATGAATGGGAATGCAAGTCGGTCAGTGTGTAATGGATTAGAACTCTTTGTTTCATCTTCAGGAGACTACTTTACTACTTGTAGTGATTATGTTCAAATTCTCCTGTGCATAGAGCTATGATTAGGTTTAACTCAAAGACTGTATGGGGAATGGCTTTAAGTAAAATTATAACTGAACCTGTAACAAAATAATTTTGTCTTATTTACAAGGCCAAGTGTGGTATGTGCAATATATTCATCATGCATTAAGCATTAAATATTTTTATCCTCAAACAATATCTAAGCCAAAAAGTAATGTGTATTACATATAACTTATCGAAGTATATGTGT